TCGGGGGGAGAGCCAGGACCGTGTGGAGACGTGACACTCGGGCGTCGCGGGCCGGATTTGAGGGCCACCCCCAAGGCTTCTGCCGCGGCCCTGTGTGCATCTGCAGGTGGGTGTGTGTGCGGGGAGGTGTGTGTGCAGGTGTGTGGGCGTGTAGGGGTGTATGCGGGTGGGGGGGCGTGTATGGTGTATGCGGGTGGGAGGGGGTGTGTGTGCAGGTGGGGGCAACGTGTGTGCGACTTGGGGGGTGCACATGCAAGCAGGTGTGTGGGCCTGGGGGCTGTTTGCTCCTGAGGACTACACTGTAGCAGACTGCATGCTTCACTGCGCCCCCTCGTCCGAGCTGCAAACCGTCCCCAACACACTGGTGCAGCTGGACGCTTCTCCCTTCAGCTTTAAAGGTAAAACGCCACGCTTGAGGGCCGGACAGCAGCGCGACATCTGGGACTCGGGTCCCTGTCCGTGCGTCCAGCCACCGCGGCACGCATGTGCTGAGGGTCTGTGAGGCCCCAGGGGGCCGAGGGAGGGGTCCCCACGAGCACGCAGCCGCGGGACCCGTCAGACTGCAGATTAGCGGTGTGTGCTTTATTGCTCTTAACACGCTACGCCGGACCGGCAGTTAGCAGACAGATTCCGCCCTCAGATATCCCCATTAACTTCTTATTCCTGTTCATTAGCGCTAAGTGCTTTAATTGATGCTCATCGCTCACGGATGACTTTCCTGATTAACAGCTGGTTTTTCTCACTTGTCAAGTCTGACGAAAATGACAATCTCGTCTCCATTTTTTTCCCCTTCCTGCTCCCCCCACCCCCCACCGCCTTTGTCGAAATGCATCTTGGGTAAATTAAGAGAGGAGAGCATCTCCTCAGGTCACTGTTGGGTTTAAAATCAACCAATCACATTTCTCATCAGCTTTCATCTCTCGGTTGGGACACCTGTACTAGCACGGCACTGAAACATCATTGTGTGTGGGCTTCACCCGTGAAATTGATGATATTACCGAAGACTTCCATCTTTGTTCGCATAAATCTGAAGAGCGATCTTTATTTTTGTTTATGGAAACGGGGGAGTGTGAATTCGCGATGTGTGAGAGATGGTGAGAACACACACGCAGGTGTGCTCCGAAATGCCAGTTTCATTTCGGCGTAAGTGAACCCTGCCGGCTTTATCTTCAGCACACTACCTCATCACGAGAGAAATCCAATAAGCCAGGAATCACCTGCTCCAATGAGTGACGGGCCATGCCACGTACCTGCACCGGGCCCTCTTACTCTTCCTCCCTCTCTTTCTCTGTACATCTCTCTACTTACCCTCCCCTCTCTCTGTATATCTCTTCCTCTCTCTCCTCCTCTTTCGCTGTGCTTCTCTCTCCTTACCCTCCTCACTCTGTATGTCTCTCCCTCCTTCCTCCTCTTTCTTCTTTTCTCTTTTCCTGTATGCCTCTCTCCTTCTCACTCTAATGCATGTTTGCCTTCACTTCTGTCTCTCCCTCTGTATGTCTCCAACTCTCACCCTCTCTCCATCTCTCTTTTCTGTCTCTTTTTCTCTCTCCATGTCTGTCTTCATTCCTCTCTCTCTCTCTGTCTCTCTCTCTGTCTCTCTCTCCGCCTCTCTCTCTCTCTCTGTCTCTCTCTATTTCTGTCTCTCTCTCCCCCTCTCTCCCTCTCTCCTTTCTGTCTCTTTTTGTCTCTGCATGTCTGTCTTCATTCCTCTCTCTCTCTGTCCCTCTCTCTCTCTCTCTCTCTCTCTCTCTCTCTCTCCCTCCCTCTCTCTCTCCCTCCCTCTCTCCATCTCTCCTTTCTGTCTCTTTTTGTCTCTGCATGTCTGTCTTCATTCCTCTCTCTCTCTCCCCCTCTCTCCCTCCCTCCCTCCCTCTCTCCATCTCTCTGTCTTCTCTCCTGGCCTGGCATTGTGTGTGTCTGATTATGCATGCTGAGTCCTGATTCACAGCGCAAACTCCCCTCCAGTTTGGGGTTCCCTCTTAATTAGACGGCAGAATAGCAGTGGCTGCTGGAGGCTAAGTGACTTTGCGGGACCCAGGCGGCTGCGGCGCTGTGTGCAGCAGCTCGTCCTCCCCTGCCTGGAAACCGCCTGCTCGACACGTGAGCGCAGTATCTGCATACAGGCTCCGCCTGTCTGGCTTTATCACGCGAGCGACGGGGGAGGTCAGAGTTCAGCTCCCACTCTTTCGGAGGCCCCGGCGTAATTCACCAGCTTATTAAATGCCGGTTTAATAACTGAAGCTGGGAGGGAAGGACCAATCAGCTACCAATCAGCGTCTGCTGAAAACAGAGCCGCTGACCTCTTAGTGTCACAGAGTCTGCATCATACACCCCCCCAGTCTCCTCAGGTTGCTCACGTTTGGGGAGGTTAACATCCTGTGAGCTGGCACAGCACCCAGCCAAAGCCTCTAAAACCAACCCAAAAAACTGCACCCCATACCCCCATCTCAGTAAGCCTCTAACTCTAATGCTGTCATCTCAGCTGTTAAACAAACGGCTCATAACACATTCTCGCCTCATTTTGGTGTGGCCTGTACCTTGTGAAAGGGCCTTAAGTGGCCTTTTCACAAAGTGTACGGTGATCGCTGATCTCAGAACAGAGTGAAGCGCTGAGGTGTCCCCCCCAGCCCCCGCACAATCTCTCACTCTAGAATTCAACATAAAATCTATCTATTTGTTCTGGGCTCTCATCTGAAGGCCAAGAAGGCCTCTGCCGCAAACATGCACACTTTAAGAGCACAGGTTGCTGGAGATGAGTGCTCATTCATTCTCACCTCCTGCAGGGAGACATGAACGAGAGAAAACGCCATGGTCCCCACATGTCAGCGCTGTCTCTGTGCACGTAACATGGCGCTCTGATCCGCCTCAGCTAGAAGCTTCCGGAATGGTCACGCGGTTTCAAAGGAGTCGTCAAAACCGCAGGCCTCACAGATGCAGCTTTACAACAGGAAACAATATTGAACGCCAGCAGGATTTACATTACAAAGCTTCACAAGCGTGTGTGTGTGTGTGTGTGTGCGTGTGTGTGTGTGTGCATGTGTGTGTGTGTGTGTGTGTGTGTGTGTGTGTGTGTGTGTGTATTTGTGTTAATTACCATCTGGAGACATAATGTCTCACACAAGGATGTACAAGCTGCAAGCTTACCTCAAGACATGCTAAATATGCTAATGACATGCTAATGAGTCCCATAACATGAGGTTTACTAAAGGGGGCTCCCTCTGGTGAATTGCAAGTTCCCTTATAGATTTTAGGTGGGCGGGAGAGCAGGGCTGAGTTTTATTCCCATCTCGTACATGATTATGCAAAAATACCGTGACAGAGCGCTATAAGGCCAAAGAATGCAAATACTGACAAAAAAAGATGAATGTATTTTCTGCAGAAATCTACATGAGACTGTCAATGTTTGCTGCCTTTCTTTAGGGTTAAATGCATGATAAAAAGCTCCAGAAAAAAAAAAAAAACCGTCACAGTCATATACAGGCCATATTAATACATGCACCAGCCCGCTGCAGTGTAGAAGCTGCAGACCATGAAATTCCATCAAAGTGCATTCTGCATTATTTACACAGCACTTCTCGACTGAAAGGGATCCCCCATCTACCAAACGGTAGCATAAGCGTGTACAGAAGTATACACCCTCCATAAACGCATGACACCGCTCTGGTTCATCCAGAAGAGCATACACTCGCAACGCAAGGACAGACATACTGGCCGCTCACAGGTTCATTCCAGACACTCAGTAAAACTACTCCTGCCCATAGTGAGAGCCTGTAGGAACATTCAGGTGTTAAGAATCCTTGTAAAAAGGAGAAAAACGAGAGATAACACCAAATATGCAGAGGGGAAAAGGAATCGCTTTGATTTTTGCGTGTGGCGCATGAAACAGGGACTGGCACAGTGTGTTAGCAGCAGTGGACACAGAGCATCATACGTTTTGGGTCTCTGTGTTACCATTTTCTCTCAGCCAGAAGCGGGGGCTGATCTGAATTCCAGCAGTCCACTGTATAGCCTTTTATTTATTCATTGCTTTTGCTCCCATTAAATCTAATAATTCTTTTTTTTATTATTTTTATTTCTCGGTGCTGCGGTCTTGTCAGCACACTCTGCCCGTTTCATGTCCTGAGGAATCCCAGACAAAGAAAACCCGGCGGGATGGGGGTCGATTAAAGACAGATCTGGTCACACTGTCCGCGGTTTTCGCCCCATTGTCTGTGAGAACAGCATTTGTTCGCCCCTTCCACGGTTTGGCACGGGCAGTAATTACCCAATTACAATGATACATCTCAAATCTGCCTCATGTTTACTCTTTGCTAGCCCCCCAAATTACTGTCTGCTGTGCCTGACAAGAAAATTATGAAAAGAGCCTCTGCCAGGGAATTACGTGCGGTCCTCTGTATTCGCCTCCGCAGAAACCAATCAGATTTTTATAATGGATGATTTGTCCCGTCTTCACCCCTCTCCCGCGAGTGACAGGGTAAACTTTGGCGCGGCTCGTCCTATCCCTCAGATTCGGGAGGGACAGCAAATCAATGAGGGACTCTCGCCCGCAGACAGATGAGCGTTACGGGCGAATATGCGGGGCGCGTTCCTGGCGCCGCCCGTTCGGAGACGGAGGCGGGTTCCGCCGCTTGTGGGGGTCACTTCATTTGACAGTGTGTGTATTGTAGTGGTGAAAACAAGAGCCGGGTCGCCGTCGGAGACGGTGATGAATATTAATGGGGGAAAGACGCGCAGAAAGGCCCTTTTGTTGACGCTGTTGTTGTGGCAATGCCCGCCCCCTCCCCCCTTTCCCGTGTAGTTCGGCCGCAATCTCTGAGCAGCAGCGAACGAGGCGTTTTCACACCGAATGTGACTCACGCTCCATGGGGAGAAAGAAGCGCATCTCCTTTCTTCCGGTTCACACCTTACAGTACATTACATTACTGTCATTTAGCACACAATCTCATCCAGAGCGGCTTGCAAAGGGTTTCACATGTTATCCATTTACACAGCTGGATATTCCCCAGCAGGGAATCGAACCAGCAACCTCATGGTTACAAGCCCTGTTCCGCTACCATTACACTACACTGCTGCCACTATTCTACAATATATGAAATAATCATTTTGACAATTGTCTATGAATTGCATGATTAAAAAGCATGACCCCCACCAAGCCACTTGAAGGAAGCGTTTCTAACTTGGGGAAGGGAGGGAGTCACTGACGGCTGGTAACGCAGTGGAGTAATGCGTTTGCAAGACCCTTACACTTAGGTAACAACACCTTTAGGTGAAAAGGAGGAAAGTTTTCCCTCTTCACTTAAAGCTGTGATTACACATAAGGCAGAAGCACATCCAAAATGAGATTAAAGCAATTAGAGAGATTATCACCGCTCACGAATCCCGGCAAGGTATTTTGTGTAAACGTGCTTTTGGTAATTCTTGTACCCTCTCTTAGACCGTTCCTGAGCATGTTGATACAAACCCAGCGGCCTGTCTGTGAGGACACATACGGTGCTACAGCTATTTTTAAGCCATATTATTCGACAGGAGAAACGCCCACCCTTGCGTTATAGTACCCTCAACCCTCATCCACTGCAACAAACAGAACAAAGTGCTGCTGGTGATTTCTCTCTTTAACTTGCCGGTCAACTCGAGGCCACTTTTAAGAAAGAGCAAATGCTGAATTTCATTCTTCCGCCCAGCTGGGGACACAAACATTTCCTGTGAAATGGAGAACCTATTTTAAACAGCACTGTCACGTAACAAACTGAGAAGGGTCACTGTCAGATTGTTTACACAGACCTACAAAATAGCGCACAGTCTGATATAGAATGCCATTGGGTTCATATTTTAAAGTGAAGCTCAGACCTTCTGTGAACTGTTTAAACATCACCAATATCATATGTGTTGTTTAAACTTTAAAGCTCAATAAAATGGGAGCATACAAAAATAATTTTCTTTGCAAATTGCTTGATTACCTATTGATTAGATATTTTTGAAGATGTTGAAGAACCTTTGACAAAGAAGTGGCACTTATAATTTCAATTAGATAATAAAATATAAAATAACCTTAAATTTGAAACCTGTCTGAAACAACTGTGCATGTCAACTGTTACATCAAACATCTCCCATACTCTCTGTATTCAGCATTCCTTAGCTAATGTCTTTAGTTTATTTAGTTCAAAATTTGAACAGTACATGCAATTGTGATAATCATTTGCAAAGGTTATGCAACATTCACTCTAAAGCAGTTGGCTTGCAGTAAATAGCCTTTGCTGTAAGCAATGTGCCTTTCAACAGATAATGTAAACAATTACAGAAACAGCTTGCATAATGCTACACATGCCAACCTGTCTTGAAAAGAGACTCAGATACTACAATTCTTGACAAGTACACTAATTCATCACTGAATTTCACAGTGATGTGGAGAAAAAAGGCTTGATTTGTGGTGAGACACTGCATGGTGTCCTCATTGTGCACTGAAACAACACTGAAATGGATCTGATATACTAATATCTTATATTCCGATATCAAAACACCATTGTAGTAATAATGAATACCGTGGAAACATTTGCCAAATGTTGAAAACATTGTAATAATAATGTAATATTTTATGTGCCACTGGTCACAGCTTTGTAAACAAATATTGTTTTTTTTATTATTTCATTATCTGGTCATGTTATGTTCTCAGCAAAAGTACTGTGTGGGAATAAAAAAAAATAATGCTGATTTAAATGTAATGCTCAGGGTTAAGGACACGGTACTACATCCATCAGACTGAAGTGTTCTGTAATTTTCCCACTAATTTCTCTTAATACAAATCAGTCAAAGGGTTGATACATCTGTTTAGGGACCATAAGGGGAGAACAGTCACATGTATTTAAAGTAGAAAAATGCTTGATAAGTGCAAAGTAAAAAAAGAGAGAAAGAAAACGATGGCTTGGCAGTTTCAGCGTTAAGTTGCTGTGTAAAGCTGGCACTGAAAGAAGGCCTCCGTTCCAGTCTCAGAGCAGGAACAAATCAGCAGCGTATTTCTCCTTGACCTTAAATGGAGTCAGAGCTTAATTACTAGTAATCCTGCCTCTGGACATTTTAATCACAATGTATACTGTCAGGTTCTCCCCCACAGAGCTGGGAGGCTCTATAAGGCAGTGAACTTAGTTTCAAATGAGGAGAAACACACGCATACACCTACAAACACAAACACACACATACACACACACACACACACACACACACACGGATACACATACACACACATATACACACATGCACACAAGCGCACACACACACACACACAACACACACACACACATGCATGCACAAATGTAATACATGCTTGGGAATCATACACAAACACACATTCATAGACAAATACACAATACTGCATACAGACAGAAACGCACACACACATGCATGGACAGATAAACATGTGAGCACACACACACACACGCACACAGATACACACAAACACACATATATTGCAACTCGTTGCCAAGATATTATAGTAAGTTGCCTTCTTCTTCCTCTTGGGTGCTAGTAAAGGACAGCTCCACAGCAAGGCCAATAGAGACCGGACACCTCCTCCACACATGATCTGTCAGCTTGACACATCCATTAAATTTCTCCCTCCAAGACTTGACAACCAGTAGTGTGTGCAACATGGTGCAACATGACACAAAAAAACAACCCACACATGAACAATGGCTGGATGTCAGCATTGCTTGCAAAGAGCTTGCCAAGAGTACATTAATCTTCTGGCTCTCATTGTAAATTGGCAGAGGCAATACTGTTTGTTTTGTTCCCAAAACTTTACTCCAGTGACAGTGCAAATACACAACGCTGTGGAGCCAGGATATAAAATGCTATTGTTTGGCCTGTGGGGGGTCACAGTGAGGGCTTGGTTATCCCCCCTCTCGCCCCTCTTCTGTGCAGGACTGTGCCGTTTTCCGTCTCTCGCATGGGTCAGAGGGTGATGTGCCCCCTCTGTGTGTGCTCTGACTGCAGGCCTGCATCCTCACCCACGTACTTGGGCGTCGAAAACAAGCATCGCCACCGAATCGCGCCCCTCCCTGCGCTCTCAGCTCAGGTTTCACTGGTCAGAGCTACCCGCAGCGCGTCTTTCCAGCTGGCGCGTCACCTTGACCGCTCGTACCGCCAAACCGTTCCCCCCGCTGCGCCCGCGGCGTCGCACCGCAGTGACACTCTCCCTCCCGGCGGCAAAAACGGCAGCGCTGTGAGTCGCAGAAGCTCCGCCTCGCAGCAGCTCCGCCTCACCCTACTGTATCTGTGCCCAATTCAGGAACAAATGGATTATGGGAATTCACATCCCTGGCTTATCTTCAGAAAAGCACAGTGGAGACACTGCTCTGACTAACGTCTCATATTTCCTCTGATTACGGCACTGTTCAGGGCTCCTTCCCAAAGCCCAGTTTGTTTGGGTTTTTTATTTATTTTTCTCACCCACAGTGAATCTTTTCAGTGTTTCTGCACCACACACACACACACACACACACACACACACACACACACACACACACACACCCACACACACACACACACACACACACACACACACACACACACGCACACACACACACGCACGCACACACACGCATGCACGCACAGTGTGTATCACTGAGCAAACTGCTCATCTGTAGTGGCTTTTCCAATTCTTATGCTAATTCCTGGCGATATATTACCAGGAAATTATTTGCAAATGATGGGGAAAGCAGCTGCTTCCTGATCCTGCAGCCTCTCAGGGTCCATCACCGAAGCGAAGCAGTTTAGTTTGCCTGTTGGGTTATATAAATCTAATGTTGTCACACTGTGATTTTCAACAGAGGGGGAGGAGGAGAAGGAAAGGGGACTGACATGATAATAAAACAGTTTGAAAGGCGACGGAGGGAGCCGGGAGTCCTCTGTCTCTGGAAACAGAGGGGAAGAAAAAGACGAGGAATCCGACGCCGACAAAGAGAAAAACAACTCGGAGGAGAGAGAAGCAGTTGGAGGCTGGGTTGCTTATTCCTCCACAGAGCTCCGCTGTGTTTTTTTTTTTTTTTAAATCGTTATCTCTGCATAAAAATGTTTCGACTCCTTGGCGTGATGCAAATTTGCCTGTGGCTATGCTCGCCTCTTCTGACACAAGCGAAATAAGCCAGCTGAACACTGTGGCACACAATGAGAGAGGTGGAGAAACAATAAAACATGAAAAACAACTGCATCCTGGCACTGGCTCCTGCAAGGAGTAAAGGGAACATGAAGGGCATATGGCCTCTGCACAAACCCGGACCCTTACACACGCTCCTATTTACTGAGGGGTTACGTGACACTGAGGTTAGGAGCCATACTTACAGCCACTGAGCTGCAGCTTCATCCCAGACAAAGCACTGCAGCTGTACCATCAGGCTAGCCAATCAGTCTGAACTGATATTAATATTCATCCATTACAACAGGTGATCTTTAAAGTATGTCTGGGTGAGTTGGATGGTTATTGATAAATTAGTCTTTTTTTCTGGTATTTGAAGGTAAATTTAAATCATTTCCCTTCATATGAATACCTGAAGCACTGAAAGACAGCATCTTGTCAATGATCATGCATCACTGTTGCCTTTATGCAGTTACTGGCCTGTTAGCCTATAGTGGGTGGGAGTTCAACTCATAGCCCACATGAGCCAGAGCACTAAGACAGCGTAAAACCTGTTCTATACCAGCAGGGGTTTCACTGGAGGGGCAGAGGCCTTGATGTCAGCCGCAGGACGGGGGTGGGGGGCAGGGCCTGGGTCCGTACCCCCAGAGAAGTTTGGGAGAATGCCATGGAGACATGCACAGAGCAGGTAAATAAAGGGAACTCTCCCACCCTGAGGCAGAAGGAGAGCATGCTGTAGTCTGTCCCAACGGGGGTCCCACTGGAGCTAAAAGCATCCGGCTCTGGGAGACGGAAGAAATGAAAATCAATGCACTGTGTGTGTGTGTGTGTGTGTGCGCGCGTGTGTGTGTGCGTGTGCGTGTGAGTGTCTCTACTTGTGTACGCCTGTGTGTGTGTGTATGTTTGTGCATGTTTGTGTGCACGTGTCCTTAAGCATGACTGTT